AAACAAAAGGAAAACAATGGTGGTAAGGGGGGAATGGTTGAAAAGGAAAAGGGGTGGGGTGATTGTGGTGGAGGGTGGTATGTGGTGGGGAGTAACCTTCTCCCCTCTCCCTTCCTTCTGTTTCCATGCAATAAGAGTCTTTAGTGAAGGGGAAAGGTGTTTAAGTGTTCATTTATCCATTTCATTAGTGCTTTATATTTTTTTTCATTGTTGTTTTATGTGAAACTATAGTTATTGTCTATAAAAGTTTTTTTGTTAATATTTTTGGGTGTCGAACATAAATATTGGATTTACTTATTTCTTATGGGAAATATGCCAGTTTTCATTGAATTCAGTTTTAAGACTCTTGGAACGAATTAAAGACAAGAAAACCGAGGTTCACTGTATGATTTTAGTCCTTGAGTTATCAACATGTGCAAGCGGTTATAGGGGTTATCAGGCTAGTGATTGGATACCTTGGTCTTCTTAATATTAGTCAGAACAATATTCAATGAAGCACTAATGAATTTTGAGTCCATAACCTTTGACTGTTTCAGTTTAAATTCGTTTATGATCACCGTTTTTGATATGATTGCTCATAATTCTAGCGCTCAAATCAAGCAGGAGAAAGCTGGTAGCAAACATTGGAATGGGTCTGTGTGGTCTGTACCATATAAATATCCTGCAACAACAGTGCATAATGAGATAAAAATTCCAAGTTTTTTGTTTTTTTTTTTTAATTATGCCACTTGTGGTGATTTTGTGTGTAAGTTAACCCCAGGTTAACGATTTTAATCCGTGCAAGGGGTATGTCAGGGAATAATGGTTTTTGAGGGAAAGTTTTCCCCAGTGATAATGGAACTGATTTAAATTCAGGAGGTGTTCCAGTATTTTAAATTTGATTACCACATGAAATATTAATGTTTACACAAACTGAAAAGGTCATGAGACTTCTGCATTTTTTGAAGATCTGGTGCAATATGGGAGGGTTTTAGGGGAAGGCTTATCTTTTGGTTTAAAGGTCCCTTCGATTAGGACTTGAGGTGATGTACTGACTGGGGTTAGTTCCTTTCTTCTTTTAAGACTAGGGCCAGTGTGTTGCCAAGTGGTTTTCGCAAAATTCTGTCCATAGTGGCCTGTACTCTGGGTTCCTTACTTCCCTTTAAGTGTTTCACAATTACCAGTAGTACAGATACCCAAAGGTTGGCAATAGCTATGTGAGGGTGGAATTTTATAAGTTTGATGAAGGGACTTTCCATGGATATCTTATTTTGGGTAGAGGCCAACTTCTTCAATTCTTTTCCCCTATTTTTGAACGGTTGTGCCCCGGGTTCTGGCCTCTTGTCTTGGTATGACTTCAGTTTCCCATATTAGTTCATTAAGGTTGTCGATCTTACTGTTAATTTGCGCCATACCTCTCTGCTCCAAACATTTAATGTATAGGATTTGTCAGTGTTAAGCATAATTTTTAGGTGTCAACCCAGTCGATATTTTGATCATCCTCATTAACATGGTGTTGAGGTTGCCAACAGATTAAGGTGAAGTGACATACTTCCCGTCCGTCAGCAAAAGAATGGGTTCATGTTGAGGATACGTTTGGAAGATCATTGATGTATATGAGGAAGAGCAGGGGACCAAGGACACTTCCCTGCGGAACTCCAGTATCAAGTGGCTGTGTTGTTGATGCTGTGTCTTTAATGGTGACATACTGATACCTATTAGTAAGGTAAGATTTGAAATATGCAAGCGCATGGCCTCTTATACCATAATGGTCAAGTTTGTGGAGTAGGATGCCATTGTCTACTGTGTCAAAAGCTTTTCTTAGGTCAATAAAAATTCCTAGTGGATATTCCTTATTTTCCAATGCTGTGTAAAGCAGATCTAGCATTTTGAATGGGGAGTGCCTTCCTTTGAAATACAGTGGAACCTCGGTTTTTATTTGCTTTGGTTTTCGTCGAATTGGTTTTTGACGACTTTTTTCATCAAAATTTTGTCCCAGTTTTTAATTATCACCTCAATTTTTGTCTGCTGTAATGAACGTGTCCATCTGCCTGTGCCCACACAAAGCATCCTACGCACACATTCTGTGTCATTCTGGCTTTGTAAGTGAACATTACCCTGCTCATTCATACGAAACATTTCATAATAATTCATTGTTTTTTGTACTTGTTTATTGAGTGCGACTGCTAAATAAGCCACCATGGGGCCAAAGGAAGTTCTGGGTGCCAGCCCTTTGATGAAAAAGGTGAGAAACACAATGGAATTCAATGGTGGTAGAGGGTGGTAATGGTTGTAATGGTAGTAGAGGGTGGTAGTGATTGTGGTGGAGGGTGGTAGTGATGGTGGTAGAGATAACCTCTCCTCCCTCTCCCCTTCCTTGCTGTCTTCCATACGTCAATAAGAGTCTTCAGTGAAGGTAAAGGTGATTTAAGTGTTCATTTATCCATTTCATTAGTGCTTTATATTTATTTCTCATTGTTGTCTGTATGTGAAACTATAGTTATTGTCTATAAAATGTAGTTTTTGTTAATATTTTTGGGTGTCTGGAACGGAGTAATTGGATTTACATTATTTCTTATGGGAAATATTGCCTCAGTTTTCATTGAATTCAGTTTTTGTCAGACTCTCTGGAACGAATTAAAGACAAAAACCGAGGTTCCACTGTATGATTTTAGTCCTTGAGTTATCAACTGTGCAAGCGGGTTATTGGAGGTTATCCAGGCTAAGTGATTGGATACCCTGTGTCCTTCTTAATATTAGTTCATGAACAATATTTCAAGGAAGCACTAATGAATTTTGAGTCACATTAACCCTTTGACTGTTTCAGTCGTATATATACGTCTTATGAGCCACCGTTTTTGACATATGTATGCTCATAAATTCTAGCGGCTTCAAATCAAGCAGGAGAAAGCTGGTAGGCTAACATGTGAGAGAATGGGTCTGTGTGGTCAGTGTGCACCATATAAAAAAATCCTGCAACACACAGTGCATAATGAGAAAAAAAAACTCCAACCGTTTTTTTTTTTTTTTTTAATTAAAATGCCGACTTTGTGGTCTATTTTTGTATAGTATTTATGGTTGTATTCTCGTTTTCTTGGTCTCATTTGATAGAATGGAAAACATATAGAAATAGAGGTAATTTTGATTGGTTTTACTATGAAAAGAACCTTGAAATGGAGCTCAACGTAGGGGAAATGTTTGTTTTTTGCCAATGTTCAAAAGTAAACAAATGATGTCATTTTCCAATAAATGTACAAGTAGCCATTCTGATATGCAGTCATGAATGGGTTGACATTATTTATACAATTATTACAATATTGCAGTAGTCTGAATAAAAATTCAGAATTGAAAGCAAGAGTAACATCAGAAGGGCCTGGAGACGTGACTGATGAACATAGAAAATGTTATTTTAGAGCCAGGAATGTCTGCATTGTTCATTCTGGACCCTATTTTGAAATTGTCATATTTTTTAATTTTCGTGAAATTGGCCAAATTGCCAATTTCTGACCACGTTATTGGGTAGTTGAAATCGGTAAATGGGCAGTTTCTTGTACTCAATCGATAGAAAAAATGGAGTTCTAAAGAAATAGCTATGAGTTTGGTCGACTGGAAAAATGGAATTAGCTGAAAATAAGGTTCAAAGTGGGCGAAATCGCCGATTCATAAATATCGCCGTGGTCGCTAGCTTCACAAGAGCGTAATTCTGTCAGTTTTCCATCAAATTTCGTTCTTTTGGTGTCATTACAATTGGGAAAAGATTCTCTGTCATTTCATAAGAATTTTTTTTTTTTTTTGCATAGTTCATTGGTTCTCAAGTTCCTGAAGGCTTTGACTTTGTTTTTAGTATCCTTTTTAAGATGAAATGGCACTGAACAAATGTAAGTATTTACTTGAAGAATCCAAGTGTTGCTGATAGACACTGAAGAAATCTGCTGAGTGGATCAAGTTGCCATTATTAAGAACCATCTTGATTAATGAGACCTGAACGTTGTTGAGTATCTTCTTATATATACATATTTCTGCACCGTTATTTGCTGCTGCTGTTCCTAGACCAGATAAAAATTGCTTATAATAACTTTTTTAAAATTGAAGAACCGTCATCATGGGTTTGCAGTTCCAGAATTTTATTTACCTTTTAAACAATTAACACATCTTTCATCCATGCTCTCAGGAAATGGTTATAAACTTAGATTTATCTTTGTTTTCAATGAGGGTAGGGTCTATCACTACCTGTGACTGAAATCAAGCTTTCAAGTGAAATAAATAAATTAAACATTTAAGTCTATGTATCTTCATATACATAAGGGAATAAGGGAAGATTAGGAGTAGGGAATGTATTTGAGAGCCCAGTGAGTTAACTACTTTATACCAATTGTTCACTCAGAGCTAGACCATAATAACTCAGAATGTTAGTAGGGCTTTACTTTAAGAGGCTTTGTAGTGTTTCTCTCCTGTAGTTTAATTGTATCAACCTCCTTCACAGAAATCATATCATATGAAATGGTAATATACTTTAGGTAGGGCTGTGTTTTGAAATGAGCTAAGGTAGAATAACACCTCAGCCTGTTAATTCATATATTAAGAGATCTACTTGAATAAAGTCACAGGAAACATTTATTTTTTGTATTCTGTATAGGTTTAATAATATAGGCTTTTCTATTGAAATTAAATGGCAGTCCTGACTACAGTTTTGGCAGAGATTCAGCAAGATTTCTCTACACACCTCGGTTCATCCTCCAATGAACATTACACTATACAGTCAACCAGATCTTCTTGGAAACCTTCTTCATGTGTCCTCACATAATTCATGGGTGAATTTGCACTAATATTCTAAGTTAAATGCTGTCATCTCAGTCAAATCCATATTAAGTGTCAACTAGCTATTTGATAAGCTAGGAGCATTTTTTCTTCTTTCCCAAAATATAACCACTGTTTCCCAAGCTCTAACCCACCAAGCATCTATATATTACTACACTAACACAATAAACAGTACTTGATATATTCAATATATTTGTTTTCAGATCAGGAGCAACTACAAGAGGTGTTTGGCCAGCTGTTAGACCACCTGGTGCTTTCACTCTGCGGCCCAGTCAGGGATCAGCCTTCTGTCCACCAGATAGGGTAGGATCAGAAGAGATGTGTGGAGCCACAGCCCTCCATGTTTGTGAGCATCACACTGCTACTTCAAGTGAACCTTGTCCTTTGTGTGGCAGCAGTAGTATTAGCAGTCCTAGTGGATATCTTGAGGCTGGCAGTTCTGACCAAGACCCTCATCAAACCTGCCAGTCAGCATCATGTGAAGCATCAGCAACCTGTGAAGCTAGTGTGTCTACTATGGTCCTTAGTTCTGCCAGCACAAGTATAGGGGAATCTCCTGAAGTTACTGCTGATCAATAGCGAAGGCCATGTTTTAGCACATTTTACAATTATTTTTGTCATCCTGCAGTTTAACAGTTATCTTAAAAAAAAGTGGTTCAGACATTGTGGTTCTTAATAGACATTATAGTGATTCGTGAATATGCTTACTGAGTATTATTTGGTATGTATTAATGTACACAGTGTATTAACTTTCAACGTGATTCAGCATTTCCAAGGCAATTTTGTACGTATATCCCAATGTTGCATATTGTTCACCTAGAAGTGAATAAGCTCCCTTACATCTCAGGATTTAATGGATAAGTAGCCACTATAATGTAGACCTAATTGACACATTGTAAGGAACTGCTCATGTACTTACTCTTCACCCTCTTGGTGGAGGACCCGTCGACTACCCTCCTGCAAGGGAAATATTGACTCTATTGTTAATAAAACTGCTGTAATCACTCTTGATGCAGGAACTAGTGTAATCTATTCTTGTCATGGAAATCTCTTTCTAATAAAGGAAGTAACTTTCACTCTTGCTCAGACAGTGTTAAAAAAAATCTTTATTCTGGTGAATTAGTAAGTTTGTTTCTGAGTGTCACATTATTCACCGTATGATATTCTCCATGAAACAGAACTGCCTACCAGCAGACACTTTACTGACCTTAATACATTACCGGTAGTCACTTCTGTATTATGTGATTAATCTTCTGATTATTTACAACTGGTCTGATTACTCTTAAAGGAAATCCTCTACCACCAGAAAACTGGTATGACACCCACTTGAGGATAGTAATCTGTGATATCTAATAAGAGACTGGTTTAAGAATGATGGTTCCCAAAGACTTTACTGTTAATCTGGCTAAACAATTTGTATATGTGGGTGTGCATTTGCGTGTGCATGTGTGAGCGTGTGTGTATACATGTGTGTGTGAGAGAGATTACCTATTTGTGATTACCTGTCTGTAGTTACAGGAGCAGAGTTATGCTCTTGGTGTCCCATCTTCAATATTTAGTCATAAATTTTTAATGCTTCCAGTAGTTGTCATATCATATCACTTCTTGGACCCCAGGTCATCTGTGCGTCACTCTTCCTCATGAAGAAATGTTTTTTAGTGCCATTTCTGTACTGTTTCTTAGTAAATTAAAGTTGTGGCCTCTTTTTCTTCCCTTTGAATCTATCGAAACATCTTCCTTATCTGTTTATCATCCTTTTATGAACTTCTGGCAATCATATTTCCTTTTTAACTCCTGCATACTAGTAAGGGCTTTGCTGGTGCTTGCAATTTTTGTCATTCATATTTCTCCACTTTTGAATACATTTTATTGCACGTCTTTGAATTGTTTATATTTTATCAATTTTAATAGGCTCAGACACTATACTGTGCCTTCATATTCCAGTTTTAGTTTAATGTGTGTTGCTAACAATATATTTTAGCATTTCACCAAACACATACTGTTTGAAGTTTTCATAATAGTTTAAGAGATTCTCATGGCTACATTTGTGTGGTTTTCTATTGTAGTTGCATGGGTGCAAGTATCTGTGTGTACATGTGTACAAATGCATGCAGGTGTGTACATAAATGCATGCCTGCATGTGCATGATGCATGCCTCTCTGTCTCAGTTTGTACAGTTACATTCACTGGTGTTTCTATTTCAGCAACATGATTAGTACTGTGCTCAAGTGCTCCAGATATAACTTATTTGTCATACATATTTGCCAATGTTTCCAGTATTGTGAGGCATACACAACAACTTTGTAAAGATACACAACTTTGTGAGGCAGACACTACAGCTTTATGAGACATACTACAATCTTTGTGAGACATGCACTACAATCTTTGTGAGACATACACAATCTTTGTGAGATACAATTTTTGTGAGACATACACAGCAATCTTGGTGAGACATACACAGCAATCTTGGTGAGGCATACATAGCAATCTTTGTGAGGCATATACAGTAGTCTGGTGAGGCTTACTTATCAGTCTTGGTGAGGCATACATAGCAGTCTTGGTGAGGCATACACAACAATCTTGGTGAGGCATACATAGCAGTCTTGGTGAGGCATATACAGCAATCTTGGTGAGGTTTACATAGCAATCTTGGTGAGGCTTACATAGCATCTTGGTGAGGCATACACAGCAATCTTGGTAAGGCATACACAACAATCTTGGTGAGACATCCAACAACTCTGAAGCCCATTCTCTCTCTCTATTTCTTTATCAGTAAATAATAATCTTTCCTTCACCTCTTTTTTTTTTTTTCATAATTTCTGTCTTCTGTTGCTTCATCGTTTTCACCTGCTTTCCAGTGATAACTTTTCCAGTGTTTTAATCTTCACAATTCATATTTCATAACAAAACTACATTTTTTGGGATGTCTGTAGGCTTTTATCTGTTTTTTATATACTTTTAAAATGTGGACACCATACTACATCTGTGTATTCCATTTTAGGTCTAAAATAAGTGCGAACAGTTTGTGTGCGAGAGAGAGACATTACCAATTTGTGTATATGTGTGTATATATTCTTGTGTGCAAGTGTGTGTGTCTGTGGACATGTATAGTATATATATAATCACCTAATTGTGTTTACAGGGAGTGAGTTCCAGCCCCTGGGGCCCACCTCTTAACCATTAATCAATTGGTGTGATGACACACTAACCCCATGGGTTTTGTCATAAAGTATTTAAATTTGATTCCATATATGGAGTTTGCCTTCACGCCTTCCTCCCTAGTGTGTTCCACACTGACTAATGACCCTTACACTGACTCCTCAGTGTGCTCCACACTGATTAAAAACCACTCACACTGAATCCGCAGTGTGTTCAACACTGACTAACGACACTCACAATGAAGAAATTGCTTTTATATTTCTAACTCATCTGAATATTCCATTTTCATTTGTGCTGTATGTGTATACCTAACATGCTTCTGTAATTACTAATTTGTAGTTACAGGTGTAGAGCTCTACTCACTGTGTCCCATCCTCTGTGGTTAAGTTATAATCAGTGCAACTTTCTGCTACTTTCTCTGTGACTGTGGCTAAGTTATGAACACTGCAACTCTCTGCTACTCTCTCTCCTCTCTCTCTCTCTAAATGTGGTTAAGCTATGAACACTGCAGCTCTGCTACTTTCTCTGTGATTGTGGTTAAATTATGAACACTGCAGCTCTCCTGTACTCTGTTATTGTGGTTAAATTATGAACACTGCAACTCCATTCTGTGACTGAGGTTCAGTTAAGAACACTGCAGCTCTTCACTACTTTGTGACTGTGGCTTAGTTATGAACACTACAGCCCTCCACTACTCTCTGACGAAGTACTTTGTATTGTCTTTTATGGACTTTTAAGGCTCTTGTGAGTTTAGCACTTAATTTTTATTACAATAATACGTATGGGCTTTTGTTTTCATAACTTGTTGCCTCTTGTTCTTTCTAATGCTAACTTTTAAGAAAATTTCCTTTCTCACTTCCAGTTTTGTGCCTTAAGTGGTAATTAGATTTCTCTACTTTTCCTGCCTTCCAGAGCAAGCAATTCCAGTTTGCTCTCTCTTATCCGTAATTCTTAATGAGGAATGAGACACTTGTGCAACATTTGGGAATCATTACTGTGATAATGATTCTCAAGTCAGTGACTTCATCAGTCAAATACAGGGAAGAACAGTATTGGACTGATGAGGCCACTGGTTGGCAAAACAATTCCACAATGAAGATACCCAAATGTTGCAAAAGTCTTTCATTGAACTGTCGGTTTTCAAACCCATTTATACAATTCTGAATTATCTAATACATTATGTTTCATGACTCAGTTGTTGCATTTTGTCTTTGAGGTTTTGTTTGATGTGGTCACCCCATGGTGAACCTGTGTATCCCAGTTAGAGGTCTCCTGTGTTGTGAAGTATTGCTTAATGTTTCACATTCTGTATACTGCAGTTATCCTAGGGTGTACCAGCAGAGCATCCTAGAATGAACCAGGAGTGCTTCCTAGACTGTAAAAGCAGTGTATCCTAGAGTGTATCAGTGCAACCTACGACGAACCAGCAGTGTTTCCTAGACTGTACCAACAGTGTATCCTAGAGGAGTACCAGAAGTGTTTCCTAGACTGTACCACCTCTGCATTCTAGGAAGAATGAGTAGTGTTTCCTACAGTGTACCAGCAGTGTATCCTAGAGGGGTAGCAGCAGTGTATCTCAGAATGTACCAGCTGTTTATCCTAAGGTGTACTAGCAGTGTATCCTAGGGTGTGCCAGCACATATCCTAGAATGTACCGGCAGTGTATCCTAGAGGATACCATTATTGTATGCTAGAGTACACCAGCAGTGTATCCCAGTGTACCAACAATATATCCTAGTGTACCAGTAGACTATCCTGGTGTACTAGAAGTGTATCCTAGTGTACCATCAGTGTATCCTACAGTGTAACAGCAATGTATCCTAGAATGTACCAGAAGTGTATTCTAGTGTACCAGCAGTGAATCCTACAGTGTACCAGAAGCATATCCTATAGTGTACTAGCAGTGTATCTAGTGTACCAGCAGTGTATCCTAAAGGGTACCAGCATTGTATCCAGAAGCGTAGCAGCAGTTTATCCTAGTTTACCAGCAGTATATCCTAGAGTGTATCAGCAGTGCATCCTAGGGTCTCATCACATATCCTAGAATGTACCTATAGTGTATCATAGAGTGTACCAGCAATGTATCCTAGTGTGTACCAGCAGTGTATCCTAGTGTGTACCAGCAGTGTATCCTAGTGTACTAGCAGTGTATTCTAGTGTACAAGCAGTGTATCCAAGTATACTAACAGTATATTCTAGTGTACCAGCAGTGTATCTGAGTGTACCAGCAGTGTATCCTAGTGTGTACCAGCAGTGTATCCAAGTGTACTAGCAGTGTATTCTAGTATACTAGCAGTGTATTCAAGTGTACCAGCAGTATATCCTAGTGCATTAGCAGTGTATTCTAGTGTACCAGCAGTGTATCCTAGTGTACAGCAGTGTATCCTAGTGTACCAGCAGTGTATCCTAATGTGTACCAGCAGTGTATCCAAGTGTACTAGCAGTGTATTCTAGTATACTAGCAGTGTATTCTAGTGTACCAGCAATGTATCCAAGTGTACCAGGAGTGTATTCTCGTGTACCAGCAGTGTATTCTAGTGTACCAACAGTACATCCTAGTGTGCCAGCAGTGTACCCTAGTGTGCCAGCAGTGTATTCTAGTGTGCCAGGAGTGTAACTTGGTATACCACCAGTTTATCCTAGTATACCATCAGTGTATCCTAGAGTACTAATATACACTAGAATGTATTAGCAGTGTATGCTCGAGTGTAACAACAGTGTATCCTGGAGTGTATTAGCAGTGTATCCTAGTGTGCCAGCAATGTATCCTAGTGTACAAGCAGTATATCCTAGTGTGCAAACAGTGTATCTTAGTGTACTTGTGTTATATCTTAGAGTGTATGCTATAGTGTATGAGCAATGTATGCTGGAGTGTATGAGCATTGTATACTAGAGTGTAACAGTAGTGTATCCTAGAGTCCATTAGCAGTGTATGCTAGAGTGTAACAGTAGTGTATCCTAGAGTGTATCACCAGTATGTCATAAAGTGAACCAGTAGTGTATCCAAGCGTACCATCATTGTATCCTAGTGTACCTGCATTATATACTACCAGTACTGTGTACCATCAATGTATCCAAGTGTACCAGAAGTTTACCCTGTTGTACATGCAGTGTATCCTAGTATACAACAGTGTGTCCTAGTGTGTACCAGCAATGGATCCTAGAGTGTGTCATCAGTTTATCCTAGTGTAGCAGCAGTATATTCTAGTGCTCTTAAGTGTATCCTAGTGTAGCAGAAGTATACCCTAGTGTACTACCAGCAGTGTATCCTAGATTGTATCAGCAGTGTATCCTAGATTGTACCAGCAGTGTATCCTAGTGTACTGGCAGTGTATCCTAGGGTACTGGCAGTGCTTCCTAGTATACCAGCAGTGTATCCTAGTGTATGAACAGTGTATCCTACAGTGTATCACTCATGTATCCTAGGGTGTACCACTCATGTATCCTAATGTACCTGCAGTGTACCAGTAGATTATCTAAGTTTACTATCAGTGTATTCTAATGTGTACCAGGATTATATCCTATTGTACCTGCATTGTGCTGTAGTGTGCAAACTGTATTCTAGTGTATCAGTAGTTTATCTTAGTGTACATGCAATGTATCATTGTGTACATGAAATGTATTCTAGAGTGTACCATCAGTGTATCCTAGTTTACCAGCAGTGTATCGGTGTACCAGCAGTGTATCCTAGAGCATACCAGCAATGTACTCTAGTGTGCCAGGAGTGTATCCTAGTGTGACCATCAGTGTATCCTAGTGTGTACCAGCAGTGTATCCTAGTGTGTACCAGCAGTGCATCCTAGAGCATACCAGCAGTGTACTCTAGTGTGCCTGGAGTGTATCCTAGTGTGTACAAAGCAGTGTATCCTAGCATAACAGCAGTGGATCCTCATGCACCAGCAGTGTATCCTAGTGTACCAGCAGTTTATCCTAGTGTGCCAGTAATGTTTCTTAGTGTACCAGCTTTGTATCTTGTTTCAGCAGTGTATCTGAATATACCAGCGATGAATCCTAGTGCACCAGCTGTGTATTCTAGAGTGTACCAGCAGTGTATCCTAGGGTGTTCCAACAGTATATCCTTGTGTATCAGCAGTGTATCCTATTTCACCAGCTGTGTATCCTAGAATGTACAAGCTGTGTTTTCTAGTGTATCAGCTGTGTATCCTGATGTTTTAGTGGTGTATCCTAGTGTACCACCAGTGTATTTTAGTGTGCCACATTGTATCCTAGTGTATGCGCATTGTATCCTAGTATACTGCTAGTGCATGCTAGTATGTCAGCAATGTGTCCTAGTGTGCCAACAGTGTATCCTACCGTGCAATAGTGTTGTGCAATTCTCTTGCTACAGCATGCTAGAGTGTACAAGCATTGTGCAACTGTTTCACTGCAGTATCTTAGAATGAACCATAAGTGTACAACTGTTTCACTGCAGTATCCTAGAATGTACAAGAAATGTACAACTGTGTCACTGCATTATCTTAGATTGTATCAGAAATTAACAACTGTTTCACTGCAGCAGCCGTGAATATATCAGCTGTGTACAACTGCCTCACTGCAGCATCCTAGAGTGCACCAGCTATGTACAACTGTCTCACTGTAGCTTCCTTGAGTGTACCAGTTGTGTACATCTGTCTCACTGCAGCATCCTAGAGTGTACCAGCTGTGTACAACTATCTCTTGCAGCATCCTAGAGTGTACCATCAGTGTACAACTGTCTCACTACTTTGTTCATGTTTTCTGGTGAAAGTGTTCGTCTTGCTCCAAGTTCTGTCTGTCTCATGTTCATAAAATTTTACCATAATCTAATATTCTTCATGGGGCCCATTTTCACCTACCCATTTCCATTATTCAGCATTTATCTACATTCACGTTCATCCCCATCTATCTCTCCATTTGCTCAATTTTGTAGTAATTTAGATATCCTACTTTGCATAAAAATTCATCATCTGCAAACGTATTCATAAGAAATATTTATTCCTTCTGGCAAGACAAAATTGATAGAAATTCACAACATTATTAGGGCAAGTATTGTTCCTTGTGGGACCCCACTAGTAACACTTCAGGACATGTTTTCCCTTTTCACTGTTTGCATAGTTCTTAAACCATCTCATTCATTGTAATAATTTAGCCTCTACTCCTATATTTTGTAGTCTCCGGATTAGTCTTTCACGAGGAACTCTAGCCAATGTTTTTTTTTTTTTTTTAAATACAAATAAATGTAGTCTGCCCATCCATTCCATTTTTGTATTATTTCCAAGACAAGTCCTAGCACAGGCAAACCTCGCTGAATGTTCAGGGCATCTCCATGATCAGAGATTATTTTAAAGGCTGTGGTCATCATGCTATTCTGTATTATATATATGGGAAAAATTATTGCAGAAGGAAAAAATATTCAACTTGAAATGTTCTTAAAAATACAAAACATGTCATTTAACACTTCTTTAATGGCTGTCCGTATCTGTAATACTCTCTGTGCGTGTAGGTCAGCATAATGTGTGTTGTGGTTTTTTGGGCAACTGTAGTGGAAGTTTAGGTAGCAGTGAGTTATGGGAAATGTTGGGTGCACAAGAGTAGTTGGTGCTCACTTTACCTAACCCATAAAACTTGAAAGGCAAATCTTTCATCAACATTGAATTCCTCTGATATGTAGCCATTTTCATTATATTTCAAGAATATAAAATGCAGCATGTTTTGGAACAAGAGGACAATATGGCTTGTGACGCAAAACTTCTATATACTAACCCTGTCAGTTTCCTATCTCACCACTGCTAGAGGCTACCCTGTTTTCTACATTGCTGTCCTACTGTAAAAGAAAACTTTCAACATTTGTGTGTGTTTCCAGCATCTTAAGTTATTTTCAGAAAAATAGAATGCTGCATGCCATGGCATGAGAAGTGAAATGTGTGTATCTCTGAGCACCTATGAATTAAATGTTGCATTAATGATATAGGTTCTCTCATAGCATGGTAAGTACCCTCCCAGCTCTCATATTTATAAGACATGTTTCTATTACAGTTATAGGTAAAAAGATTATACGTAAAGGTAGTTTAAAAGACAGGAGTGAAGTCCTTCACTGGTACTATGTTTTGCCCATGCGTGGGCTTGATCAGGTACTTAAATATGAGATACAACAGCTTAAATAATCATTCAGAGTTTGTTGTGTGCAACAGGTTTAAGATTAAGAGATGCTCTGCATGTGGTCTACCAGCCTATATCACATCTCCTTTGCTCTAAACAATGTGATCCATAAAAGCTGCTAAAGTTAACCACACTATTTTTTATTTTTGATGGTGTTTGTAAATTTTATTGTAGACAACTCTAGACATCAACTGTACATTTAACCTTATCATTCACCTGGAACAGTAGCTTGGCTTTTTCCTATGCCATTTGGTGTGAGTTGGAGTTGTGGTGTTGCACACATGCATTTTTGATGTTCTCTTTTCTATTGGCATATTTGCTCTACTGTAAATAAATAGGTAAACTCCTAGCTGTCTCCCTGATGTAGGCTGTCCCATCCCCTGCTGGGAATCCCATAACATCTGTGTCCTTGGATCCAGGTACAGTATAAAGGTCTCCATGTAGTCACGTATGGTCTTAGTGGTAACCACTGTAACGGCGATGTTGGGTTTTTGTAAAATAGGGTTGTGTTCACTGTGGTCCCTGTTGGCAATATATACCTAGATACAGTGTTGTGGTTCCTGGCATTGCAGTGTATCATGTCTGCTTTTCATTTGCATTGGAAGATCATGTTGTGAGAAAACCTGAGGTTGGAGAAAGCACTCTCTATGTAATCTTGTTATTCCTTCAGGAATTCTTCTGAATGCCCACAAAAAAACCAGATAGTCATCCCTCTCTTTGCTTTTAGATCGTAGTGGGAGAAGTTAATTGTCTTAGTGGGTTTCTGGTATAGTTTTCATTTCATATCTAGCTGTCTGGTGATAGAACATCTGTGAAAGGAAAAGTGCTATTAACTTCCTCCTCCAAGGTAAATTGTATGGAAAGTTCTACCTAGTTTATCTCTTTTGGAAATGCTGCAAATTGAATTGCTTTGGTACACTGATCATTTCATCAACATATCTTAGCAGAGTAGTGTTGGATAATGCTATTGAAGCAGTCTCATTCCATGTGTTTTAGGTTCAAATTGGCAAGCACAGCACTTAAATGTAATCATATTACTATGCCAACCTTCTGCCTAGAAATGTGCATTTCCATACAAGAAGAAATTGAAATTGATTCATGACTCTGTTGTCAGTGAAGTCAAGGGTAGGTAGGGTGAAATTCTGGTTGCTTGCAAGGGTAGTTCAAGGATCTGTATACTGATCTATACTAGAGGGGTTTTAGGGGTGGCTGTATGGATGGAAGGGAAAGCTAGGAAACTTGTTTTGAAGCATCAGCTTTATTATTATTATTATTATTATTATTTATTATTATTATTATTATTATTATTTTTATTATTATTTTTATTATTATTATTATTATTGTGATGAATGGTTTGAAAAACCGACAGCATCATGGGATCTTCTTACTTGTCGGTTTTTCAAACCATTCATCACAACTGTCAGACACTGCAGCATTATGGGATCTTCTTATTATTATTATTACTGTTTTTATTGGGAGGGTGAAGCTCCAAGCTTCCCCCTTCCCTTGGCAGCGCCAGTGGTTGCTGGTGTCACGATTCTATAAAAAATTGATTATCTGGTTGACGGGTATTTATGTAAATAGGAAAGTGACATCTAGGTTTGCCATCATTATATTTTTGACAAAAGCATTTTTAGGTATAACAGTGAGGTTGCCAAGAGTGCTGGAAATGGGATTGGATCATGGTTTCTAGCACTGATGAGAGACCTGATCTGCACACCCACCAACTTGTGCAGTGTGCTACCAATTCCTGAGGAAATGGGCCTTAAGGATACATTAGGTTTGTGGATTCTAGGTAGTCTGTAAGTGTATAGCATTAGTTTTTAGCCTTGTTCAAAACTTGACAATATTTT